CTCTTAAAGGCTGAAAACTGTTTAATATTTCATTCCCGGCTGCTGTAGCGCCGTCCTCTTTCTGAAGAGTCTGTGTTGTTGGCTCTGGCAGGGTTGGCCTCGTGGAGTCGAAAATCAGATTGCTGGTGTCAACTTTGGAGAGAAATGAGCTGGTCTCCTTGGCCCATGTTCACCCGCACGCCTTTCCTGGGCACAGAACAGCGAATAAAAAGTAAACACAAGCGATGTTCTGGTTACGTTTAAACCGTGTTTACGAGTAGCGTTGTCTTTGCTAACTCGTGCCTGTTTTTCTGTCTGGTTTAGAGATGGACGGAGCACAACGTGGCTCATTGGACTTGTCTTAAATGTGAAAGAAAGATGTAGAATAAATCTAGAGCGCAGCTTCAAAACTTTCGCTAATATCAGTAAGTTTTTCTTTTTTTTTTAATCAGAAAAAAGTAATTCCTGAAATTATAAAATGCGTTTTTATTTTGTTGCAGTCAACAGCCTGGCCAGGAGCTCTAACATATATGATGAAGGGATGTCCTTATCAGTCGCATGCCTGAGGAGGGAAGACCTCATTTATGATCCACAGCAGAAAACTCTCCGAACCTCTGAAACTGAGCCGCCTTGTCTCGTCTCACCTGTCAGCGCTGACAAACAGGACGCGACAAAGAGAGAACTACGCCATAGATCTGAGACGCCATCCAAAAAATTCAAAGATGACAAGGTTTGTTCAATCATCCATCCAAATTGCTTCTTGGATGTTAAATTGGTTTTCTTTTTTTGTTTTGCTTTCTTAAGTGGTAAAAAAGTCAATTTTTTTTTGGTTTTAAGGTGGATTAGACACTCAGCCATGTCACTTACTAGAATCTGTAGTAGTATTGTACAGTACCTTAACTCAGGAGTGTCAAACTGACTTAAGCAAGTTGGCCTGACCAGTGAAACTACATGAAAAACATTTAAGGTTTTGGTAAATCACTGCTTAGTAAGTTAGTATCCTGTAATTGAGACTATGAAGTTTTAATTAATTCAGAGAAAATCTTCTTGTACTTTGGTGTGGCGTGGATGGCAGGGGGTGAGGATCTTTATCAATAGGAAAAGCTTTAAAGGTTGTGAAAATACTGCTACAAAATACTGGGCCTCATTGGAGTCTTTGAAGGGCTGATACTGGCCCCCGGGCCCTATGTTTGACACCCCTACCTTAACATAAAGACATCAGACTGTTATCAGTTTTCTTAGACTGTCAGGAGATATTAATATGCTGTGAATAAGTCTGTTCCTTGTCTCTCAGAGTCTGCCCGTCGACCGGCCTCACAACGTCCCTTCAGGCGGCCACGTCGCCGGACCTTCTGCATTTGCAAAACCCGCCGTCAGCCTTGCAGCCCCCAGGTACAGAAGAACACGAATGAACAGAAACCTCTCCCCAGTTTCCCCCAGTTCATGTCTTCCATGTGCCAAAAATCACATAACATAGCAGCTTTTGTGAGGTTCATGGAAGTCCTGTTGAAAGCTACACTTACAACATGAATTTCATCTCTTTACCACAAGAGGGCAATGAAGCCTTTCTACTCAACTGCAGTGAAGCAATGTGTGCACAGATCAACTTTTCAGACGCCAGTCAGTGGCTGCTAAAGAAAAAAAAATGCTGCAGATTAGAGTTATGGGAGCAGCTTTGGATTCAGTTATCTCTGCGAATATTCTGCACTTTGAGGAAGGAAATTAAAGAATCCGAATGCTTGCGTTTTTCACTTTAGTGTGTCGATTTGGAGACCAGATAATAGTAGTGAGGTGCTAATTAATACATTGGGGGTGGTGATCTATTATGTTGTGCATTTAAAAATAATTTATCGTTTCTTTTTTTCTTTTTTCCCGGAAGCCCTGCTCCCAGAGGAAAGTGTTTTGTCTGTTGACCTCTTCCAGCTCTTTGCTAAGTGGTGCTTTTAAGTCATCTGCTGTCTTTGATTAACTGCAATTAATGACAGGGACAAACAAACATCACTTATTATTGGGCTGTAATCTATGTGGATAAAGAGGCTAATAGGAACTATGCTTAAGAATTTAGTATTGCCAGAAAAAACAAAACAAAAATAAGCTTTCAATTCCTCATAGGCTTCGGAGTTTCATACTTTCACTTGCATTGAGTAGATTTCCTCTCATTTCTACACCAAATGCGACATTTGCGGTGTTCAGCTGATGATATAAAACTGATTGATAGAGGGAGAAAAGGTGAGGCTGACCACTTTGTGACCATTTGAGAGCACAAAGTCTCCGTTGTGTGACAACATGTGTGATTTTTCTTTTCTTTTAAAGCTAGCTCAAAAAGGTACTTTTGTTCTTTTTGACATTTAGTCATAATGGATGTTGGAACGTTAATGGTATAATTTGTAATCGCTCAAGTAAAAATTGAACGGGATTAAAAACGGGCCGAGATTTTGATTTTTGCAAAAATACCACGAGCTGGCTCTTTTTCTCTTTACTGTCTTTTGTTGATATGCAATATGTATCATTTTGGGGGATGATTTGTGCCAGGCAAGACACTGAGATACTCATCCATAGGGAGCTGTCTCATAACATGGCCTAGTTAAAGGTTTTCTGTTGTTTGCATCCCAATCCGGTCAAAATTTCCCAAGATATGGCTTGTAAGAGTGTGTATGTTGTTGCTAAGGAACAGTTTTTTCTGCACTCTCAGTAGGTGGTCTCTTTATGAATATCATTACATATCCTTATTCAGGGGAGGCAAGGCATGTTTATTCTTTGCACACCGCGTTTATCACTGTTTTCGTGTTAAAATCTGCGAGGGCTCCGTGTGGCCACTGTTTACACCTTGATGTATTTCCTAAT